ATCATAATACTATGAAAATCGATATATTACTTTATGCATCACTTTTTTGGGCTCACAATAATTGGGGGGGTGATGAAATCAAACCAGTGGCATGAGATGTCACTGTGGGTCCAATTTTATTTGCCATGCTGGCATGCTGAGCAGGAGAGTTTCTGGAAAGGGACTTGATGCGACGAAGACATCACAAAGGAAAAGGGAAGGCATTAATTGAGGCCAGCTTGAAGTAGGCCATATTACCACAGCGGTAACCACACGTGCACCAACTAAAAAATTACTCTTTTATGGGCACAAACCACACATGACACAATTTTGAGCTCTGAAAACATGAGTAAGCAAACTGGTCGGCCAGCTCAAACTTTTATGTTAAAAATGTTTTTATAAGTTCTTTTTCCAATAAAAAGGAGGCTCAAATTGTCGCTCCCCTAAACGGTCTAGATTCTCATTTATATTCCAAGAGTATATAGTATAAGCTAAGAAAACAAGCTTTTCTAAATTTTCGCTAGCTATCTACTTATAAGTGCTTGTTAAAATCTTTAAGCTTCTCAAATAGATCTAAAAGAGAAATTGAGGAATGGGGTGAGAACAGTGACTAAGCAACCCAGGTTTTCTCACTATTTTTCTTCTCTTTCAATAATTATTGATAGTAAGTGTCTCCTCAGTATCAGAACTTGCTCTTTTCAGAAAACAGTGACTAAGCAAGCATTGTGCAAAAGTGATGCCAGGTGACACGTAGGGTTGCTGCAGGAAGCAGAGGGAACCTGCTGATGTGTGGTCATGTGATGAGGGGCATGCATGCTTGCATGAGAGAATCAAAATGCATTATATCAGTGCTTTCAAAAGCTGAAATCTACTCATACATGGGCTCAGTTTCATCAATAGTGAGAAACAGATAGGCAAACTAACCTCAAAAAAAAAAAGAAGAAAAGAAAGAAAGAAAGAAAGAAAGAAAGAAAGAAAGAAAGAAAGAAAGAGAAAGATGGCAATAATCTAGGGCAGAATCTAGTATATCTGTAGAGAGATGGGAAAAATGGTAGAAGGGTCCATGTGGTGGGGTGAGTTTAGCGAAATTTCATAGATTCTCTACTCTTGCTTCAAAATTCATCACGTGCTATTTGTATCTCATCTTTTCTGCCCACTGTAACCCATGGTTATGGCCTCATCTGATCTAACCACGAATATTACTTACGCATATGCATCACATGGCTAAACAAAATTGATCTTAGTTTTTTTCCGTTAGTCGCACTCTGCACAACTTTTTATACTGTTTAAGAACTTTTATATATGGCCTATTAGTTTACTTTAGCTCTTAATAAGGTTTTGATATAAGTTAATTTGTTCACAAAGTATCCATACTTGGCTAGGACAATATATTTTTTTAATACATACACTCTTTTGATCTAATGACTATTATTATCCGAACTATTTATCCGATGACTAATATATTTTTGATAATGTGGCACATCCTCGTAAAAAAAGGTTTGTTGCTTTCACTATATGAGATAAGATAAGATTGTAAAACTTGCATGACTAAAATGTCATTACCAAATTAGAGTCCGACCACCACCACATATACAACCATGAATAAAGATTGTCGAATGAAAAAATAGGTTGGTAGTTTCATTACTTGAATTAATCTTCAGAAATTAACATTGAAGAATTCTCTATAATGAAAAATAAAATAAAATTATTTAGCTAAAAGTTGATCGCTTTTTCCTACTCAGCTATTGGAAACTTTATAAAACCGTGTGCTGATCAACCTGCCGCTCCTCTGGTTTTGCACACGTTTCTTTCACAGAATTTTTTAAGTTTTTTTTTAAAAAAATATACAAGTAAACGAAAAGAAAAGCACACAATTTCCTACCAAAAAAAAACAACATAAGCACACCATTTCCGGTCGATTTTAATTCCAGAAATATTTTAAAAAGCCACTGCTTCAACGGGGCCCACTGGCAGTGACCGCTACAAATCACAGACAAGCCGGCTTCGGCAATGCGTAGAAGCAGAGTGTATAAAACTCACCGGAACGAGCCGTACGACGGCGACGGCGACGCCTCGCCGTGCGCGGGCAATGGCGCGGCGGCGGCGGCGGCGACGCCGAGCAGGAGGTACTCGACCCACCCGAGGTCCCCGTTGCAGCCGATCCTCTTGCTCCCGTACCCGAACGGGCTCCCCGGCACGGCGGCGGCGGCCGCCGCCGCCGCCGCCTCCTTCTCCGGCTGCGCCATCGCGAAGAACGCCGCCGCCGCGGCCTCCACGCGCGCCAGGAGCCCCGCCGGCACGCCGTGGCCCGTCACCTTGAAGAACCCGTGTCCCTCGCACGCCGCCACCACCGCGCGCGCCGCGTCCGCCCTGCAGGCGCCGCCGCCCAGGTCCACCTCCGGCACGTCGGCCAGCGGCGGCGCCGCCCTTCTGCACCGCCGCCGGCAGGGCGATCTGCTCCAACTCCCCCTTCGCCAAAACCACCATGACTGAGCGACAACTAGAATGCTAGTAGCTAGCTAGGTAGAAAGCAGAGGAGAACGCCGATTAAAAGCAGAGGAATCGAAGGAAGTGAAGAATGGAGGAGGTGAGGTGGGGAGGGAGACGAACGGGGTGGCGTCGGCATATATAGGCATGGGGGTGTATGAGGATGACGATGATGATACGTTGATGATGTGTATCCTCGCTCCTTCTTCGGACGAGATTTGTCTATTTTGGAACATAAGAGGTATTCAGTAAAACGTACTGTAACTTGTTATAAACTTAGTATTATTTTAAAATTAATATTCGAGTTTAAATTTCTCACATAGTATAATATTTTTGACAAACAAAATAATCATATAGGAGTAAAACTGAATGTAAATAACAACCGATGATATTATTTTTATCAATTAAAATTTAGTTTATAATAAATTATTTATTAGTTAGATATTTAAAGAGTTCAATTTTTAAATAGGTATGTGCATGATTTAGTGAGTGGGACGGGGCGACGGGCTCTGGGCTCTGGGTTCTACTCGTGACAGTTACCTGTCTGCGTAGGATACACTGCACTGTAGTGATATCTTGCCCACCGAATTAATGAGCATGATTCATTGCACTATGGCTGTGTTTAGTTTCACGTTAAAATTAAAAGTTTTAAAAAATTGGAACGATGTGATGGAAAAATTAAAAATTTACGTGTGTAGAAAAGTTTATGTGTGTAGGAAAGTTTGATATGACGAAAAAGTTAAAAGTTTAAAGAAAAAAAGTTAGAATCTAAAGAGGGCCTATGCATCACTGGCAATCTGGCACGGTCAAAGTGGTTAAATATGATGTTTCAACAATTCCTAGCGAGTGAGCTCTCTTTTTCAAAACAGGACCAACACCGGTGGCTATTTTTTAACTATTGGCAGTCTCATGGTTGTAGGTTAAGGTATGGCTGGATAAGAGGCAAGTGTTATGGTAGATGTGACTATCACCTCTAAATTTATCTATTTTATTCACTAATGAATTAAGAGGCAACCCATACAATATATCAACTCTAGTATACAAATACCAATGTATCTAGTACTCTCATATCCTTCTTAAAATTTGTATGGATGTTGCCTCTTGATTTAGGGATGGCTCATCATCTCTCTCCTCACTTCTCTCCTCCACCTCATGTACTCTTAGGGGCAACATATGAAGTATTATAGTACTTGCCCTAAGCCCTAGAAAAATAAAGCAAGGCTGTGTTTAGTTCACACCAAAATTAGAAATTTGGTTGAAATTGAAACAATGTGACAGAAAAGTTGGAAGTTTGTGTGTGTAGGAAAGTTTTGATGTGATGAAAAAGTTGGAAGTTTGAAGAATTATTTTGGAACTAAACACGGCGTAAGTAACAAAAATATATAATTTATAAGTACAAATTTTTATATATGTATTGTTTGTGGTTCAAAATTTAATGTTAAAAATAGTCTATAACGAAAACAAATCATAAAATCAACTACAATTTAAAATTTTTTGTCACGATGATAAGCAAAAGGGTAGGTGATGGGAGACTGAGTTTTTAGTTAGTGTTTACTTAGGGATGCAGCAGTGTTCATTGATTATGTGTATATTTTAAAGTAACGTGATACATGTCATGCAAATTTGTACTGTATGTATTTTGTTTCTAATTTCACATTTCATAATCATATAGTCCATTCTATCAGGTGTAATATAATAGAATTAGTCAATTAAATCATTGCATAAAAAGTAACGAACGACCTATACTCATGCTAGGGTTCTGCAAAAAGAACTCAATAGTGGGCGTGTGGTGTTGTAGCACAAGTAGTAATTACGACAATAATAAACATAAAAGTCCTAATGAGATTCTTGAAAACATTTTTAGTGAAATTGATTTGATCTTGATCTGCTACAAAATAAGCAAAAATTGAAATGCACACACTCTCATTGCTCATCTTGTAAGTGGTAACCTTTATGATTGCTGATGAGGTAACCATGGGAGAAATTGTCATCTTCAAACATCGCCTTAGAGAGTTACATGCACGAAGGCGACCAAGAGCGATAACAAGGTTCACGGTAGGTGGTATGTGACAGTTCTTACAAAGAATGAAATCCCACCTATCAGGTACTTCTTCCTTGATTGACAAACATTGCTATTAGGGAATGTACAATGGTCTTTATTAGCGGTCTCTCTTTATTGTCATGCGAGCATATTTAGTGATGTAGAAGAGAGAGGAAGAAGGAAAGAGAAAGATGGTTGCTACGTATGACAACGGCATAGAGTCGACTCTTAGCATTTATTAGGAAATTTTTTTTGTTGCATTGAGTAATAAAGGAAAGATGACTAGTAAGAAAGTATTTTGGTGCATTAATGGTTAGAGACCATATTGTCTTAACTATTGTAACGTGATAGTCTCTAATTAACGTAGAGACTACACCGGTCTCTACCTTTGTACTTGCCCTTATATGACAGTTCAAAAAACACATTGGATCCTATTATTTAGGGCCGGTTTGGTTCATAGCCTAAAATGGCCTTACCAATGTTTGGGCCACATTAACAGTACAAAGTATAATTTTGGTTTGGATCCAAATATTGGCTGGCCTATGCAAAACAATAGGTCACGCCATTGACAAGAGCCAAAACGTAGGCGTGAAATTTAAACTCTTGCGCGGGCTCGGATGACGCTCCATATCCAAGCTGCACAGTAGTACACAAGCAGATATTCTCATTTATTGGCATCCACCTACCGCTCATCATCTTCTCTAGCCACAGGCCACAACCTATAGCTCCTCCAATCCCGAGCTAGAAGACACAGGAGCCCATCTTGCCATCCATAGTCATCTTCTCAAACAATCAAACCCATAAGAGCTGATCAAATGGGGTAGAAATTTTGGAGTAAATCTGCTGGGGAGGGGACGAGAGTGAGGCGGAAGGGTTCTGCTCAGGCGACAGAGGACGGCATACGGGCGCCGCGATTTCAGCTGCAGCTCTACTGACTCCGCCGCGCTCAAGTGCCATCACACAAAGGTAACCATTCCTTCCATAGAATGCTTTCCCACTTGTGTTGATAATAAAATTTCTGATGTATAATCTGCCATTAGCATCTTATGTACTAGTAGTAATAAAAGTTAGTTGGCCGAACATCTTACTAGTTTAGTGTTGATGCTTATTTCACCTGTACTTTATTAGTGTGTCCTTTTACATCTAAGTGAATATCTCCTTTTTTTTTTTGGATAAATCTGTATGTTGGCACAATAGTATTTGATTTTCTAAAGTAATTTCAAACTGGTAATCTGCTTCCAGATGGAGAGCAATCGACAGCAATATGTGCATTGCTTCTTGTTGAGGCAAAAGGCTGTAGTGATACTTCTGGTTTTGATCCTCGTCTGGTTGAGGAATAAAAATGGTAAAAGAAGTAAATGCAAAGGGGTACGGTATGGGCCCCTGATCCATAGGGATGTATGGAGAACAAGTGAATTAATTAGGTTGATCGACACTTCAGATAGGATATGCACACAACAATTGAGAATGCCCCGTCAGTTATTCTACAGGCTCTGTTCTCGTCTTAAGAACAAGGGACTACTAGTTGACACCTTTCATGTTTCAGTAGAGGAGCAAGTGGCAATGTTTCTGAAGAAGGTTGGACAACATCATTCAGTTCCATCTGTAGGATTCTCATTTTGGCGATCTGGTGAGACAGTGAGTAGGTATTTTCATATTGTGTTGCGGGCCATGTGTGAGTTAGCTCGAGAACTCATTTATGTCAGGTCTGCCGATACACATACTAAGATCACCAGCAACCCAAACAAATTCTATCCATATTTTGAGGTAACTCTAAATACCAAGAGACAATAATTCATATTCCATTAACTTTTGTTTATTTCACTCGGATGTTTTTATTTTGTCTGCACTTAGGGCTGTATTGGGGCACTAGACGGCACACACATCAGGGCAAGTGTGCCAGCCAAGAAGGTGGATAGGTTTAGAGGCCGCAAGTCATACCCCACACAGAACGTATTGGCTGCTGTCGACTTTGACCTTAGGTTCACATATATCCTATCAGGTTGGGAGGGGTCAGCTCATGATTCTCTTGTCTTGCAAGATGCATTGTCGCGCCCAAATGGTCTTAAAATACCAGAAGGTAATTAAACATTTTGAAAGAATCGTAATTAGCCTTGTTGTAAGAAGATAACATTAGGCTCATATATGACATGATTGATGGTTGTAGGGAAATATTTTTTGGCTGATGCTGGATATGCTGCTAGGCCGGGTATATTGCCGCCATATCGTCGTGTTCGATATCACCTAAAAGAGTTTCGTGGCCCTCAAGGTCCAAAATGCCCAAAAGAGCTATTCAACTATCGTCATTCTTCACTTCGAACTACAATTGAACGAGCTTTTGGTGCTCTTAAGAACCGCTTCAAGATTCTTATGAATAAGCCATTCATACCCTTGAAAGCCCAAGCAATGGTGGTTATCGCTTGTTGTGCCCTTCATAATTGGATATTGGACGATGGACATGATGAATTTGTCTCCGATGAGGATACGTGGTATGCTCGCCTACCAAGGAGTAGTAACCGTGTCACTGACAAAGGGGCTGATGTACGTGAGTGGGCAGCCAAGCGTGACGATATTGCCAATCAGATGTGGAATGATAGAAACAACATAGATGTCCACGATGTTATGACCAGCGAATGAGTTACCAACGTATATTGCTTACAATCTTTGTTTTTTGTATTAACTGACTACCATTGTTCATATGAAGTGTTTTACTTACAATTCTCCTATGATGTATGCAGTATGGGAAATCGTACTGAAGATAATAGCAAGGAAGGTGGCTCTCGTGAAAAGTATATCACTTGGAGTGATGATGCCACTCAGTTCATGCTTGAGTGGTATATATCGCTCCGCAAGGACAAACCTACCACCTTCAAGTGGAGGAAACAACACCACCAGCAGTGTGCTACTGCTTTGAATGACAAGCTTGGACTTAGAGTCAACAGAAGCCAAGTCCATCGGCATTTCAGGCTATGCAAGGAAAAATGGAGTTGGATCTGTGCAGCCTTAGGAAAAAGTGGCTATGGTTTTGATGCAACATCATGCAAATTTAACATTGACCCATCGGAGAAGGAAGCAAACAAACTTGGTGTAAGTTATTCTATGATTGCACACTAGTTTGAGTTATAATTCATACAAGAATTGTTAAGTTTGTTTATTTCTAACCATGCTTCTTCTAATGACAGACAACTAAATACAACTACTTGACTAAGCCTATCAAATTCTTCCATCTCTTTGAAGAATTATTTGTGGGCTGTTCAAAAGCTGATGGCTCTCTTGCGATGGACCAGTTTACTGCTAATACTAGTAGTGATAGTGATGGCAGTGGTAGCATCAAGGAGTTGGAAGAATATACATTTCCACTGCAAGATGGTGGCAATGATTCCGACACAATACCTCGCTATAGTCCGACAACTGATGCCACTTCTTCAGGGCAGAAGCGTAAGTTTGTGAAATCACCTACCAAGAAGATTGTGAAGCATAAAACGAGCCGCCACAAAGCAGAGGAGGATGAGCTGATAGCTAGTATCCTTAGGCTTGCTAACTCTCTTGCATCTGCACAGTCTGTTGCATCTGTTGAAGTGCCCTCTGTAGGAGATCCAAATGCAAGTATTTGGAAGCGCATAGAAGACCTCACCATCCCAGCAAGTGACAAAATTGAACTTGCAATCTTTCTCACCAAGCCAGAACAAGAATGCTTTCGTTCTTATCTGCGAGTTGCAAGTGATGAAAGTTTCCAAGCTTGGGTTATAGATTACTTTGGGCGCAAATGTGCTACCGATGGTGGCTATGTCACTCTGTGAATCATTTGCCAGGTGGTGACATTTTGGTTAGGGAGCAATGCATTTTGATAAACCCATGTTACTGTTATATACTTATGATATATGCTGCCACTACCATATAGGGGATGGCAGTGTGAAGTATAAAGTAGGGGTTAGTGCAAACCCATGATGTAATATATGGCACTACTATGTGGGTGATTACGAAGTACTACTATGTAGGGATATGTGCAAACCAAAATGCTGTAATGCATGATGTGTTATTGCTGCACTAGTTATGGAGCTTTGAAGTCTAATTTCAGTCATACAGTATTTCTTTTATATAAACACGCCCAGCTTTGTTGCTGCTATATTTGATACAAGGAGGTTTATTTAAGAGAGAAACAAAGAATGATGTCAAAGAAATCAACACAGCAAACAAGAACATTTAGCTGCCTTTACACATATTCATTTTTCAGGAATTAGCTAGCAGTACCATTAACGGGAGGCAATATAACTACGATCAACAAGAGCTAGCAGTACTGCACATATACACCAGGACCACAAGTCCACAACCCATCATCAAGGGCTAATAAACACTTCAGTTTTTCACTTATTAAAATTTGACTACAAAATAAAGAAACATTAGGATCTGGAGCGCAGGAAGATATGAAAGCAGAGGTGAGAAGGTGAGGAATATGAAGGCAAAACAAGAAAAGGCATAGCCATATGAAGGCACCAAACCAAACTTGGTATAGCCAAAAATTGGCTAGGTCAATTTTGGCTACTAACCAAACTCAATTTTACCTTTCCAAACAATGTCCATAACAAAATATGCCTATGACCAAAATTTGGTAAGGCTCTTTTAGGTCTCAAACCAAACCTACCCTTATTTTACATTATGTGAAGATTTCATTAAAAGATGGAATTACTTCCAGCCTCTACATGGATGCACACAAAAATCAAAGCAAAAAAAAACTGAAGGGTGACATACAAGAATATGTTGCATTTGCACGTGTATATGCTTATTTGACATCTTCTATCTATTATCTATCTATCTTCTATCTATCTATTATATACTAAAAGTCCATTAAACTTTCTACAAACGCTCCTAAGCCGCCATGTGGCGCTCCTACAAACACTCATAGGCCGCCACGTGGCACTCTCTAATCTTACCGTTGATTTTCACTTAAATTGATGGACCCATTAATTTAGACTATTAGATTAGATCTATTATTAAAAGGTGATAGTTTTTCCTAAAAAAAATGCAACTGGTGGTGGCTGGGAAAGGGCAAGAAAACTAATGTCAAAAAAGGAAAGAAAACTAAATGTCCGTACGCAAAGTATAATTGAAAAAAACAACAAATAAAACTTCCTACTGTTAGGCGGAAGAAAAAATAATAAACATCTACATACGATAAAAAAAATGATAAAGCCAAAAACATGTGTAGTTAGGATTTTTTGTATAATATAAAATATAATATTACATAATATATGGAAGTATATGATCTATAATATAAATATCAAATATCAAATCAACGGTCACTAAACATTATCTTTTAAATTACTTTTAATTATATGCCCAATTTATGATCGATTGTATTCGTTTAATTAAACAAAGTATCGGTGTATAAAAGTAATGATGTGGTCCTAAATACATCCGACACATCGGGTCAAAATACAATAGGGTACAATAAGTAATGTTAGAGATTTATTAAACTTGCTACAAACGCTTCTAAATAGCTATGTGGCGCTCCTACGAATGCTTCTACGACACCACATGGTGCTCTAATAAATTAGAGAAAACCTTGCAAATTGTGAGAAAAAAACATCCAGTCATTTTTATTGGTGGACCCACTATTTTTAAACTATTAGATTAGATTTATTTAAAATATATCCCACGTAACCTGCTCGAATAAAAAATCACGTGAATAGTTGCACGTACATATACGTGCTTCCGTACTTTGCTACTCACTGAAAAAAAAGGAAAAAAAGTAATTACGATGGAAAAAAAGAAGGATTAGCCGTACCACGGTCACACCTAATTGTTACTAGTGACACATACATACGTACTGTTCACCCAAAAAAGTGAAAAAAAAAATCTCAAATGTACAATACGTACTACGTACTATTCACCGGATTGAGAAAAAAAATTCTCCCGGGTATGTACAAGCTACGCACCGTCCTTCACTCCTCGAATTTTTATACATAAAATCAACATTCACCCGTCCCCTAATAAACTTATCTAAATAATAAATAGACGTATATAGAAAAATATTACGACTACATTTGATATTAAATATATTTAAATTTAAAAATATCACATTGAAGCATATTTAGAGCTTTATCCATTAAATATCTTATAAATGCTATTAGGCCACCACGTAGTACTTCTACAAATGCTAATACACCACCACGTGGTATTTTAATAAATTAGAAAAATTACAAAAATTACAAGAATGAACAAAACATCCGGTTGTCGATTTTCACTAATATACGATGGACCCATTGTGCGTACGTAGCTCTCCACCTATTTCCTTTCTCTCCTATTTTCCAATTCTGTTAGATGGAAAAAATATTTAAGGATAAAAAATTTTAGACAATTATATTATCTAAATCATATAGCTAACTTTTTATTGGTGCACATATAATTGAAGATCCAAGTTAACTATATTATTAAAAAAATCATTACTCTGGGTCATATATATTCTAATAACTATTGATTTTCACTGATACATATGTTTTTAAGAAAAAATATATAGATTTTTAAACCTTCTGATTAATAACATACACTTAAATTAGAACAATTTTAAACAATTTAAGTAGTTTAATTAAAAAATTACAACACACAAAGTATTTTCTAATAGATCTAAGATTATACTCCCTCCGTCCAAAAAAATCTCAACTTCTGGACTTTGGATTTTGTCCCACAAAAAACCAACTTCTACCATCCTACCTACCCTCAGCACATAAAACGAGAAGTTTTATTCCTTAAATATCTTTCACCTACCTAGAGGGCTATTTTTGGTATTTTTACTCCCTACTAATTTTACATTGGGATGCTAGGATTGGTCTTTTTTGGATGGAGGGAGTATGTTTTTATAAAAATAGATAACTCAAAACTAGGGCCCATTCAATCTATGTTAATCCTCTTGCCTTACGTATACCTCTGACTCACCCATCATCTCCTCTCCAATTCAATTATCTCCTCTTCTTTTTTTAACTAACATAATAAAACTATTGTTTTATTTATAATTAAATAAATTAATTAAGATAACATTAGCTATATTTTACTATAAAAAGTTAGAATACATCATTTGATGGTAGACCCTATCATTTGAATGGCAACTAAATAACAACGAAAAGTTAATCGAACATATGTATTATGATATACTAAATCACTAAATCAATTAAAGCCCTCTAGAGCGCTCACAAATCACCGTATAATAAGTCCTAAAATTATAAGAAAAAGGCAAAATTTGATACAGGATACCCAAAAAATGTGTAATTGGATAGGAGACACCGTAAAAACGTGACATGGCTGATGGACACTACAAAATTTGTGTAATTGGCTATAGGACACCGGAGGTAATATTTTATAATTTCTGGGTCAAAAAATGTGAGAAATTTTTTGAAATGGCGAGATTGCCCCTAATACGGAGTGCCGCCGCCGTCTCCCCCACCGTGAACAGTGGCGGTCGCGGCCTTCCCCACCGCAATCCACCGCGGCGGCGCCATCCACTACTTCCGATGGGTGGATCCAGCTGCAGCGGTGTCCTGCAGGACGGTGGAGCGCCCTCAGTGACAACGTGTCTTGAGCCGCTGGAGCTCGCCTCTCCTCTCCATCTTCGTCCGCCACCACCGCCCATCCTCTCATTGGACGAGAGCTTGTAGCTGGTCAGATATGACATATTGCTTTGTGATTTGCTCGATTCCGTTGGTTTCCAGATTTCAATCATTGTGGATCCTCCTAGCTAATTTTATTGAGTTTGATTCATGTGGATCCTCCTAGCTTATTTTGATCCGAAGTCCGTTTTTTTTTCTTTGGGCATCGTATGGGATGTAATTGTGCGTTGGATGGAGGGTGCCGCTTGGTCGGATTGACGGACAAAAAAATTATTATGACAATTGGAAAGTTACTAATTTTAAAGTAGTTAAGATATGGATAAATGTGAATTTGTCCATATTTATCTCTAATTTTTTGACACAGGGAGTAACCAACATCCTTTTTCCCACAAAAAGAAACAAAAAAGAACATACTAATCACCGAGTGACACGTGGCTGGACGTACGAGGTGCTAGATTAAATTTAATTCAATTAAATTGACATATCCATTATTTTTAACTATTAGATCTATCTTTTTTTTAAAAAAAAATCTTAAGTTACCATGGGGCACGTCCTATAGAAAAGGGGATAAACCTTGGAAATTCTTAGAAAAAATGAAGCACCTCGTCATTGGCTTTCACTTAAATCATTTAGAAAAATTAAAAAAATAAAATCTTCACCTCCTCCTCACTCTCACATCTACACAACATTGTCGTCCCCTCCCTATTGTTTTATCTATTTTAAATTATGTTTGATATTCTTTTAGAAACAAAGTACAAACGCGGGCATTCACAACGCGCACACTCACCTCTATGGACTCACACATGCACATACCCTTATGAAAGAGACTAGGCTGACATATATTTTGAGATTGACGAAGTCACTATGTACTTCTCGCTGTCGATGGGTACGTCACCTACTACTGAAAGAATTTATCCAAGTCTAGGACATGAACCCGAGTGGGCAAATTCCATCACAATGAACCTAACCAGTTGAGCTACGTTCACTTCGCAATAATGTTGGATATTAAAATAACCATAATTTTTAAGCTACATTTCTGGAATACTCCTATGCCTTTTAAACCGGTGGAATCATTATTTCTAATAGTTAGATATATCTTATATAAGAAAAAATATATGTGTATACATGGTACATCACATTTCAAAAATATTATTGTGCAATTATATTTCTCTTTCACGTTAGCTTGCATGGAACTTCTGACCCACTCTACATGAAATGTTCATAGATGGATCGGCTCCCAAATTACATCAATCATATTAGGCTATATAAACTCATATATTTAGTGGAGCTTCATGTCCCACCCAATTAATCCTCGAATAAACCATGATAATATATATGCAATTAAAAAAAGAAAAATACCTTAGTTTGACTTTACACTTACTTTTCGTTGACATGTTTTCTTAAGGAAGTAAGTCTACCTTCTTTTAAAATGATGAAGAATATTAT